CGAAACGTGCGCGGGTCAAAAACGAGAGAGATTCTGATCGAGTGCTCCATTTGAAGGTTTATTGTTGGCCGGCAAAGGTCAAACGGTTTACGCACGCGAGGAAATTAACAACAATTGAAGCAGACAAAAAGATCCCGGCAATTCATCGGATATCTCAAACACCTTTATCTCGGTGTTGGGTAGGTACTCCGCGTAGAATAAAGAATAAGAACTGTACAAGCGGAAATTTTGGAGCACAAATTTTCATTGCTATGAAAGAACGCATGTAGCATCTGCATTTAACGTGTTATGGAATACTGATTCTGATTCTGCCTATAGGTGAATGACGAATTTGATCCACCCTGTACAATTACATGTTTGGTGTTTCCTTTTTCTGGCAAGTGGAAAAGAATTTTAGAATGTTTGTTGTAAACAACACCATCAACCGACGCCCGATAACAATATGGAAAGAAATTACGGTTTTAGTTGAGAATCTCAACACTTTGTTAAACCAAGGTTAGTTTTAACTCTTTGTGCGACAAGAAACGTTGCAAACCTTCTCACTGAGCATACAGATCTTACATATCGCGGTTTAGAAATTATTGTGGAAATTCGGTTTTACATTGAATAGCATGTAATTCTTCTACAACCGGGAATACCTTCTTTTCCTCTATTAAATATGTCTACATGTTCTACATGCAACCTTCTCATTGAGCATTTATACCTCAAACATTGCGATTTTGAAATTATTAAGGAGACTGTGTCTTGCTTGATGTTCCTGTATACAGGGTTTTCATTTGAAAACTTCCCACCACGGATTGATCGAAAACCACTGATTTTTTTTTTAAAATCGCTCGATTCGACTTCGAGAAAATTTAAAAAAATCTTTATTTAATTTTATCTTAATTTGTTCAGATAGAAAACAAAAACACACGAAAATATGACTTATTTCTTGCTATGGGAAAGAAAGAATTTAATTTACTGTCTTTGTGACAATCTTGGGATAGAGAAAATTAATTTATTGATTCAGATTTTACTTCCAAAATGGTTTACACACTAGCCGAAAGAGTGGAAATTATTATGTTGCCCAAAATCAATGTGCTCGGCAAGCTGTTTACGTTTAACGCCAGAAATCCGGGAAAGTTTTCTATCTGAACAAATTATGATAGGTCGATTAAATAAATGAAATAAAGATTTTTCTAATTTTCTCGAAAACGAATCGACCGATTTTAAAAAATCAAACGTCAAAATAATGGACTTCGAAAGACCTTTCAAATAAGCTATTACTCGATACCACTTGCAAATTAAAAGGAATGACCCTGGGAGGCAGAGGGTGAAAAGGGGTGAAGTAGTTTTTGGTTAAAATCTTTTGACGTGTCTCGGCGTTTTTTCCTTTCATCAGTGGTTTTCGATAAATTCGTGGTGAGACGTTTTCAAATGAACACCCTGTATAATTAGCGGGGTGTGATTCTTGTAGTACCGGATATATCTTGGGTTCCTTGATTAAATATTTTACAGGATAACATTCAATCTCGCTGCTCATATAGACCTCTAGATCGCGATTATGAAATTACTAGGTAATTAACGCAATCTAGTTTTACGTATTACTCCCGCATACATTTATAGGAGTGTAACTCTTGTACAACATGGGATCCCTTTGCTTCCTAGATTGAATATGCATACAGCATCTACAACCTACTTTCTCACGGTTCACATAGAAGATGTCACGACCCCCCGAATTTGACATTATAAAATTACTAGGAAAACTCTTACTTATTACTCTTGCACTCATCCATTGAGAACGGTGGAACCCTTGCAGTACAGGATGGTTCAAATTTGTGGCCCACCATTGGGATCTTCATAATTGTGAGGGGTTAAATCGGGGACAAACTTGGCTATTTTTTGAAAATATCTTTCTATGGCCCCTTTTTTCGGAAAATCTGAATTTGAATTTCCATAACACGCTAGATGTAAAAGTTACAGGCTACTAGTTTCTTATTTCTTATGGTCGCCATATAGCATTTTTATGGAAAGAAAGATAAACACATGTCACACTCAAATTTGAAAACTCCTGTATAAAAATCGCATAAGCCGGAGTGCAACTGTTACTTTGATAGCTGCAAAAATTACCTAGAACCTTTACAGCGATAAATTCACGAGTTCGTTAAGTTGTCCTGTCGAACTACACCGTGGTTTATTTTTAAACCGAGTAAATTTGTGTTTTTGAAATTCAAATCTGTTTCCTTTAGCAACTTAACTCGAACAATTGTCAACCTAAAAATGCGACGCGGAAAAAATGCTCCACCGACAATTTTTCTCGGCTAATTACAATGCAACGGGTTTTTATTACCTAAACACGGTAAAATACAACCCTCTTGTGCAATTATAAGTGAAAAATTTCAAAATCACATTCATTTCTCAACAAAACATCCACGTGTAACTAGATCTTGTCGAATCAACATGGCTATGATGGCGATGCGATAAATTTCTTTGTTGTCCTCTATCTCATTCCGTAAAAATCCAACATGGCGTCCATAAGAAATAAGAAAGTTATAGCCGCTAGCCTTTACATCCTGCGGAAATTTTGATAACAAATTCAGACTCTCCGGAAAAAAGTGCCCATAGAGGATGCTAACGGGAACCGTCCATTTCCGATCGTTAAGCTAGGGAAATGAAAACGAAATTTGACATTTTTAGTTCTTCGGTTATATGTCAGTTATTTTGAATGATTTTTCAATAATTTCAAATGCGTTTTTTTAGTCACAAAAAGGGGCAACTTTGCCCCCATGGGCCGTATTCCTCACCGTTACGGAAATCCCAATAGTGAGTCACGAATTTGAACCACCCTTTATATGGATTGTATCATACTATACAGGCTGATTCAAATTCGAGGGCCACCATGGGGATCTCGTAAACTGTAAGTTGCGTATTTTGATGCTTAACAAAATGCAGTTTTGAAACTGAAAAAATTCCGACTACTTTCGGACCCGAAAAAAAAAACGAAATTTTGCAAAATCGTTTTATTTTTTCTTGAAGTTATTTAAAAAGATATTTCGAAATAAATGACACATTATTACCACCCCTCTATAAGATGCTACTTTTAAATTTTACGTTTGACGTTTCGTCTACAGTCAACCATCATCAACTTATTTTTTCTTATGGAAGTAATTTTTACTTTTTATGGCACTTGATAGATATTTTTTTTCTAATTTCAGAAATGTAAACATCACTATCTTTTAATCAGAAATTAATTATTATTAATTCGTAAAAACGCAAGAAACTACGTACGTACACTACCCTTTCTAGGCAAAAAAGAAGATATTTTAACAATATTAAAAAAATTTAAAACTAGCATCTTGTGGAGGGAAAAGAGTGTAATGTGTTATTTATTTTGAAAAATTTTTTTTAATAACTTCAGTAACAATAAAAACGGTTTTGCTAAATTTGAATTTTTCCGGATATCTCCGAAAGGAATTTTTTCAGTTTCAAAACTGCATTTTGTTAAGCATCAAAATACGCAACTTTGCCAAATTTAAACTACCTACCTCGAGATCCCCATGGTGACCATCGAATTTGAATCAGCCTGTATAGGCGGAAGTAAAGTGGCTCATGCATAATTGTTCACTAGACTCTGTATTAGGAGGGAACGGTTTCTTCCGGTATAGATATAGGCAATGAATATGGAAAGTGTGAGAAATCGGGGCCGGGCCTTAATGGGAACATAGTTTTGGACACAAAAACCTTATATTGAAACTTATAAAAAGTAAAGATTACTTGTTCCAAAACGCAACAACAGAACATCGCGTATAAACTGGACACGGGACGGCCCTTCAATATCTTCTTATGCGAGTCCTTTCAAAGGAAGTTTTGGACTAAAAACCTTGCTCTTTTAAGCTACAATCGGCAACAGCCAGTTGAGGAGCGACGTATACTTCCACAATTGCAGAACAACTTGACCGGTCACAATAATTTTGGCACCTGAAAACGAGAGGTTACTAGGTCGCTAACTGCTTTGCGATTTACATACAGGGAATAAGTGCTGCTACAGGTTCCATTGATTCTCTTGTGCAATTTTCCATTTTGAGATTGATTCCTGATACGCCATATTTTTTACTATACTTCGTGGAAGGACCAGCCGGAATCTCAATCCTGGTCTTTTCCGATATTTGTAGCGTGCATGTCGTAGATTGATTGGAAGGCCAAACAAGGTCTATTTCAGCATTGTGCCCCATTTGGTTACTGAACAGGCGTTCATACAATTAAATATGTATCCAACGCTTTGGCTGTCAAATGATTAATCACCCACTAGCCGCCCAATCATTATCCTGAAACGCCGCCTTCGCTCAGGTGTAATTAATTAAAGTCCCTCATTAAGCATAATTACCGTAGCTGTCACAGACGTGTTTACTTACTTACCGGCTTAATGAAAAGTCACCCATCCAAATTCGGTTAACAGAACGTTTCGGAATTACTGTACGGTTTGCAAACATGCGTTTTGTCCCTAAATTGTGAACTATTCTCGGCTTCATCTTGAGCTAGAATTGTAATAAGCAAGACAATAAGTAGATTTCTACTTTAGCCGAACGTTTATTACTCAGCATAACAGGGGGGACAAATTTCGCACCTTGGCGACGTATTCAAATTAAACTTCGCCCAAAGTGGCGGTTACGAAAAAGACTACACGTATATGAAGCAACACGTAAATTTACATTATCGTAAATTTCGCTTCAAGAATTTCCGCACAGTTTTCAGTCTTTAATTAATTAAACTTCCCTTAAGCTCGCGCGATATACGAATAGCTCACTTATATTAATGGGGGGGCAGGTACCCCGAAAATGCAAGACTTTTAATGCGTTATAAATTCGTTCGGCGGAGACATTTATTTTACCAATAATAGGCGAAATCAATTAAACATTCCGTTTCTCATCCGACCGTTAGAATTCGAACGCAATTAAGCATACTGGTTTAATTGGTTTATATCTTTCCAATTTATATTTATAGATATCGCGTTTTTTTTCCAGATTCGACCGAGCGAGGCGAGCTTTTCCAACTGCAGCGCGGGCGGTAAGTCTTCTTTTTTTTTGCAATTATGGCGAATCTATCTCGATATTAATGTCTGAATTGAATGCAAATGATTTCAAAACTGCTATACTGAAGTCAATTGAATAAAATCCTCCAATTAAGCTTTTTAATAGCAAAGGGTGCATTTGAAATTAGACCTTAAGCATATTGAGGGACAAAAATACATGAAATAGCAAAAAAATAAGCAATTAAATTTACAATACTGTACCCAGGAATTTAGGACCCAGGACGAGTCGAATGACGTACAGTTAGGGACAAAAGTAATGCTCGCCGAATAGGTAAATGCTGCAGCATACGCAGTCAACATTTTAATTATTTGTGCAACTTGGAAATGCGAACCAAAAATTAAGGCATCTCCTCCTTGAAAGAACTGACGGAGCCCGATGGGATGTTGGCTTATGCTGCAGAGTAAATTAGGCGATCATTACTTTTGTCAATGACCGTACATTAAACCATACACTGTGGGGTGTAATTTTGTGCGGATTTACTTTTGTCCTAGTAGTATGAAATATACTTCCACCTATTTTCATACCTACCAAATAATAAAAAAATCATAAAAATCGGTCGAGCGGTTTCGGAGGAGTGTGATCAGAAATCATGTAACAATATTTTTATACAGGGTGAAAATTTTATCTGGAACACTGAATATTTCTGCAAAACAATTTTGTTAAAAAAGCTTTTTCTGCTGCCTACAATTATATAAAGTTTGCTACCAATCTACATATGTACCTACTTTAAATATTTGGTCAGTGGTGTAATTCTGCATGGTCAATGGGGGCATATTTTGTTCATTAAACTACTAGTTTTCATTAAAGAGTACTTTTTTGTATGTAGCAGCCTAAAAAAACTTATATTTTTACCAGTTTGATCATGTTTTTATGTTGCCATATTAAAAAAGTTCACACCTCACGAAAAATAGTACTTTACATTATCGAAGTGACCCGGTAGTTCTATAGACGCACGCCACTGTAAATAATTTTAAGCATGCAGATTTACGAGTGGTTCCGTAAAAGGAAACAACAATGACTGGAGACGAAATTTATTTACACAAGATAATCCTAGACTATTTTTGCACATAGTGCCGTTTGAGATCACGGCACTTTTCGTAACGGTCGACAACATTTTTTATACCCTCTGCATAAAAGCTTGTTGCTCAGTTTTGGAAACAGGTAATCACTTGGTGCCAGATCCGGACTGTACATACGTCCAATTCTTTTCCCACAACTTTACATGTATACAGCCGATCGTTCTCCTTCCTTTTCTTAAGCTCATTTGTATTTCCCCCAACACCCTCTTCCCTTCCATTTCTCTTTCTGATATTGCCTTGAGTACTATTATGTAGACTCTATACGCCGTCGCCAATATCGCGATTCCCCTATAATTTTCCATGCAGACCTTGTCACCCCCTTGTGTAAGTCTGCATCTTTTTTTATTAATTTCCTTAGCTTCTCCTCTTGATAACTCGTCTCCATCCACCTTCTCTCTGCCTTCATCCCCTATCCCCTACACTTTTCTCCTGCTCACCATGTTGAATCTTTATAAAGTGTTGCTTTCAGTGTTCTTATTTGTATAGGTCTACCACTAACTGTGTTTTTCCCTTTTCCTCTGTTTATCATCTTCCTTTTCTGTTTTTATCTATCGGATCTTGTTTATATTCTTTCTGTTCCCTCATATCCTTCTTTTCCAACTCTCTCCCTTTCTTTCTCTTGTTCTGTATCTGTTCCCCTCTTCTGTACACTCTCAGTCCCACGACTCCTTTCGTTTATCTCTCCCTTCCTCTTCCTTTAGCTGTTTTCATGGTATTGCCTTTTAATACTCTCTTTCATATTTTTCCTCCTTTCTCCTATTTCATGTACTTGCTCTTCTAGTCTCCTTTTATAATCCTCCACCGTGTCTCTTGTCCATAACTGTATGCTCTTTTTATCTTCCGTTTTAGCTTTATTTCCATCGATTGGTGATACGACTCTGTCCTTGTTCTTACATTAAAATCTTCTATTGCTTCCGTTTACTACTAGTAATCAATTACCGACTTCCCTCTTCCTCCCATGTGTGTCTATTGCCCATCCCTATCTCCCTCCTTGCTTTTGTTTCATATACTCTTCTTTTCTGTTAATTTCAGTACCAAGTCCACCTCTTTGTTGCATTCAATATTTCTTGGATCTTCTATCTCCACCCAATTTCCTTTATTCCCTGTTTTGGCATTTGTATCTCTCGCCATTATTAGCTTCTCATCCTCACTTTCGTCAATCATATTTTCTAATTCATTTCATTCCTCATCTGTTATATATAGTTATCACTCTCATTTTCTTCTCTTTCACTTCCACTCGTTTTTCTTCTTCTTTTGTTTCATTCCCTTGTTCCTTTATATTTTTTACTCCTGTTAAATGTCTCCTTTTGCTCTTCATTTTACGTTATGCCCTCTTACATACTCCCAGAATTGTACGTCTGTATTTGTTATCCTCGCCACATTCCAGAACATCTTCATTTTCATTTCGCTTTGCTCATTTCTTCTGCTGTTCGTTCTCCCCCCCCCCCCTCCCTTCCCCTGTGTTCTCTTGTACTGTTAAAACATCACCGCCTTTCTCTCTCCCGTTCTCTTTCTCTCTGATCTCATTAATTCTTTTCTTTTGTTACTTCAACTGTATTACACATCTTCCATCACCCATCTTACTTTCCTGCCCCTGCCTCTTTCTCCTTCCGCTATCTCTCTAATTGTGCCTCTCCTTCTTCATAAGTCAGTTCGTTGTCTATGTATATCCTGCTTCCCTTTAACTTTCCTCTCATGACTTTCCACTCTTTTCCCAGGTTAGTTCCGCGACTATTATTACTTTATTTTCCCCTACTTCAATTGTTTTCGCCTCCTTTATGTTGGCCTCTACTTGTAGTTTTTGTTACCCATTCCTCCATTCGCCCTTTCTCTTAACCCTTTTTTATCTCAAAACTCCCTTTATCGTTGTTGTTCTCTATTTTTTCTCTTTTTTTTCGCCTATTTTATTCTTCGAGATTTTTTATCCTTTTAAAGTTCTTCTTTTTCCTTATGCCATTGTTATCTTCATTTCCTCCGTCATCTTCTCTTTCACTTATTCAATTTGCTCATTTGTCTGCTTAGCTGCCCTCCTTATTTCCTCCATCCATTTCTCCAATACTTTTTTCATGATTTCCTCTTCCTCTCCCCTCAGCTCACTCTCTTCACCGCTTTTAAACTGCACCTCTATCTTTTTTCCTCCGCTTTCCTTTGTTCCAGTGACCTTAAGACATTCTTGCTCCTCCTAAACACCACAAACCACTTTTCTCTTTTACTTCTTTCCTCTTCTTAGTATCTTCATTGATCCCCACGTGTGCTAGGGGCTTCCCCCGTCCGCATCTCGAAAGCATTGCGCCCCTCTCCGTCTCTTCAGTAACAAATCTCCCAAAATTACTAAAAAAAAATGGGATATGGGCCTACGATATGTTTTAGAATTTCTGTAAATGCGTATTGGTTATTTAAATTTGTTTTTTAATTGTAAAATGAGAACTTTCGTGATAAATTGTAGAAATCTAACCCAGATAAAATAATGCACGTGTGCGCGTCTCGAGAGAAGAAGTTGGGACGTTTTTTTGTAGCTAATTTGTAATTGGCCCATTTTTCTAAATACCGGAGGAAACGGTTTATTCTTGAGTGGAGGTGGTGTTCTCTTAAATACGGTAGACAACGAAAAAACGAGGCCGCTGCTAGCTGGTTTGCGACGTTTAGAAAAGAGTTACGCAATTATTTACTCGGGCTGTCCGCTCGATTTGATTGATTGTAGACAAAATTACTTAATTAAACGATAAAAATTCACTTGCGATGAATACATTCTAGCAGTAGAGATGATGCTTTCCCAGGATCTAAAAATGAAAAATCTATTAGCAGAAGCTCGACTGTGCCTTTCAGTACGGATTTGAAAAGTTTCCAGTTTTAATTAAACCTCCAAATTCTCGTAACGTAAAACCAAGTTATGGTAAGCGTAAAACAAACACAAACAAAACATTTCTTTGTGAAAACTTAAGGATGGAAGTGTCACGATGATTGAGAACATCGTTGCTTTAGTGATATACGAAAATTTATGCACCGATGCACAATGCGTAACGATATTCGTCTTTTCCCAACTTATTAAACGCAGAACGCGAGCCTAACATTCGATATTTACGTGTCCAGGTCTTCACGCCCGAACAATTCCCGCCCTACGTCTCTAAAAAAAAAGAAAATAAATACCCTGTCTACGTCGAAAGACGGCGAACCTAGTTTTGATATTTTCAATTTCACGGATTACTTAACCATTACATCTTTCGAATTTTACCCTTATTTCATGCTAGTGTATACACTACATCCGCGAACGTAAAGGTAATCAATTTTATTTCAGGAAAATATCGAAAATGTTGCTCGAAACATAAAATTACACGAAACTCTAATATATATAAAGCAATATATATAAGAAATCCCCGCAGGATTACTTGTGAGCTTCCTACCACAGCACCAATTGTGCTTTCTTTCAGAAGGCGCTCGCATCTGTCACGGCCCTTAAAAGCTCGCGACAACATATTAAAGGGCTTGTAAATGTTATCTTAACGTTCGCGGATACTTTATAATCCCTGTCTGCACCATAAACAACGTCTCTTAATAATGTTTCGTAAGAAATGGTTGTCTAAATTCCAGCGGAGAGGGATAATTCGCGCGTAGGTGGATGGCATATTTCATAACATGTCGCCGGGGGGAGTATCGCCCCGCCGAAAAGCAAAAGCGATACTTTTTCGCACGACTTTTTCCACGAAATAAAGCACACATACCCCGCCATTTGAAACTTCACCAAACGCGTTTAGTTCGGAAAAGTTTCGCAAAGAACCCCGGCTATACCAAGTCTATTATGTAATTTCTACAAGTGGGGAACTTCCCGCGGCGCTTTTCGTATATATGGCGCGCGTTAATTAAAGGGACGCCCGTTTGATTTAATACCCGGCACTTT